TTCGACAGCCGGAAGCTGTCGATTAAACTTGTTTAATCGACAGCTCCTGGCTGTCGAATATAACTGGACAAAATTTGAGAAATTCTGTCGATTATCAATATATTCGACAGTAAATTTATGTCGATTAAACTTATTTAATCGACAGAAAAATTGGCTGTCGAATATACTGATTATCGACTGCAGTATATTCGACAAAAAAAGTTGTCGAATATGTCTGTCGATTATAGTTTAATCGACAGAAAATCACTCATATTCGACAGAATCCGTTGTCGAATATACTGCTTTTTCCAGTAGTGGAATCTGGGTGTGCACGTATCATTTTCCTTCAAAAAATACTCAATATTAATCTTTATCTCATAATTTAGATATATTTCTTCTTTTTTCCATTATTATTCTATTTAAAGATTTAGACAATATTCTCTCTTCTCTTAATTAAAAAATTACAGTACACTTAAATAGGATCAAATATCTATGTGTTACATGTGCATTACATGGGATCATTTTAATGTTTCTTTCTCAACATTATATTAAAAAATTAATATAACTTTTTTAAAATATAACTTAAACTGAATAATTTAAACATATATATTCTACAATCAAATTTGAATTGAAAAAAAAAAATCTGTCGAATAGGTCATTTAGATTTTGTTGTTAAAAATAGAAAAGACTTTAAGTTTTTATTATCAAGAATTGAAAAAATCCTAAACTAATTTATAGTATTCTTTTTTTGTTTTTTTGGCCTTCGATGCTTAATATTCTTAAGTATTCAATTTTTCTTAAGTATGTTTAGTATTCTATGAATTAATATTTTTCATTTCTTAAGCCATTCTCCTTCGATTTAATATACATGTAATGGAAAATAATAATGAATACACTGGTTTAATATACATATAAAAATGCGTGTTACTCCCATTTAATTCGATAAAACTTCGTTTAGACCTAGTCAAACTTGCCCAAACTTAGTCAACTTAATTGATCCAAACCGATTCAACTCTCTTTTTCTTTTCGTTTTTAAAATTTTTACAATTTTTTCATCTTTCTTTAATTTTGATGTTTCTATTTATTTAATTAATAGATAATATAATAATTAAATTGTAAAATATATCTAAAGCAAAATCACAATTAATGAATAAAAATTTTTAAATTAATTTAAATGTAATTTAAAATTAAATTACTATTTCAAATTAGATAGCAATTTGAATTTAAAATCAAATCAATTTGATTTTGAAAATAAAATAAATAACTACTTTATATAATGAAATAAATGAAATTAATT